GAAGAATCTAAAACACAGTATTACACGTAGGTATGATTAGGTATAGGTAGGTAGGTAAATTTAACAAAATTGAATGAATCTAGATGGCCATTTACATTTTTGCCAAAAAGTTGGCGTGGCTCGAAAGTAGGTCGACTGGCGTACTCCAAAATAGGACGTTCAAATCTCACACATAAGACTAACAACTGTATGCAATTTGAAACATGTGGGTCAAACGGTTCTTGAGTTATCATTGACCATAGGCAGAGACTGAAATGCATAGTGAAATTGCCAAAATCTACATAATTTCATAATTTAAAAAAATATCAAAACTCCTGTGATATGTTTTGGGGGCCAGTCGTCATTCATTTACATGTAACAAAAATGAGCAAAATCTGAGTTTATGGCCATTTCCATTTAAATTGCCAAAAAGTGGGCGTTATAGATAGAAGGTATAGGTAGGTAGCAGGGATATGTATAGGTAGCTGGCTGTAAAGTAGGTAGTAGGTAGAAAGGTAGTAAGTGCTACTCACTCCGTAGTAGCATAACTATTATGTGTACGTATTAGGTAGATACAGGTAGGTATAGGTAGGTATAGGTATAGGTAGGTAGTAGGTAGATACAGGTAGGTATAGGTAGGTATAGGTAGGTAGTAGAGTAGATAGGTAGTAGAGTAGATAGGTAGTAGAGTAGGTAGGTAGGTATAGGTAGGTAGTAAAGTAGGTAGGTAGGTATAGGTATAGGTAGGTATATTTATAAGTAGTAGTAGAGTAGATACAGGTAGGTATAGGTATAGGTAGGTACAGGTAGGTACAGGTAGGTACAGGTTGGTATAGGTAGGTAGGTATAGGTACAGGTTGGTATAGGTATAGGTAGGTATAGGTAGGTAGTAGAGTAGGTACAGGTTGGTACAGGTATAGGTAGGTAGTAGAGTAGGTACAGGTATAGGTAGTAGTAGAGTAGAGTAGGTATAGGTTGGTATAGGTAGGTATAGGTAGGTACAGGTATGTAGTAGAGTAGGTACAGGTAGGTATAGATACAGGTAGGTATAGGTATAGGTATAGGTATAGCTAGGTAGTAGAGTAGGTACAGGTAGGTAGTAGAGTAGGTACAGGTAGGTACAGGTATAGGTAGTAGTAGGTAGGTAGGTAGGTAGTAGAGTAGGTATAGGTAGCTATAGGTAGGTATAGGTAGGTATAGGTAGGTATAGGTATAGCTATAGGTAGGTATAGGTATAGCTATAGGTAGGTATAGGTATAGCTAGGTGTGTATTAGTAGTAGTAAGTGTTACCATGGTTACTCACCCCGGACGACTGTGGTTGGATGCGCAGCCCCGCGGCGACTCCGTTGTGGAACAGCGGCCAAGCGTTCATGTTCGCCGGGACGTCGATGTGAGTCAGATCCACCGTCGTGTTGCTACGGCAACGCAACGACACGCAGGCTTACGATCGTGTTGCTACGGCAACGCAACGACACGCTTCGCAGGCTAGATCGCGTCGGCAAAAGCCGTCTCGCCATGTCTCTAACGTAACTAGACGATGTGTGCCGCGCACCGCATTTTTCACTGGTTAATTAATCATATAGCATGTTAATCACGGTTAATTAATCATTAAATAGCATTTACTCACGGTTAATTAATCATTATAGCATTTAATCACGGTTAATTAATCATATAGCATTTAATCACGTTAATTAATCATTAATAGCAATTCTAATCAGCGTAATTAATCATATAGCATTTATCAGCGGTTAAATTAATCAATAAAGCATTAATCAACGGTAATTAATCCCATTAATGGCATTAATCACGTTAATTAATCAATATAGCATTTCATTCACGGTTAATTAATCAATTATTAGCATTTAATGCATCCGGTTTAATTAATCAATTATAGGCATTTAACTCCATGATTTATTTATTCATCATATTTATCATGATATTTTTCATTTTTATCATCATCATTTTATATCTTTATTATTATTCATTATAACGATTATCTCCACGAGTCCTCGTCCCCAGTGAGCCGATATGCCGTCGTGATCGTTAGTTAAAGCGCGCAGGGTAGATAACGGGTGAGGGTCCCTGCGTGGTGTTTCTAATGCGCGCCACCACTACACGGCTTACGCTGAGATATCGAGCCGCCGGGTGAGATAACGAGTGAGGGTCCCTGCGTGTGTTTCTATGCGCGCCACCACACACGGTCGCTACGCTGAGATATCGAGCCGTCGGGTGAGATAACGAGTGAGGGTCCCTGCGTGTGTTTCTATGCGCGCCACCACACACGGTCGCTACGCTGAGATATCGAGCCGCCGGGTGAGATAACGAGTAAGGGTCCCTGCGTGTGTTTCTACGCGCGACACCACACACGGTCGCTACGCTGTCAGGCATACTGTTTAACTTCCCGATTGCTACGTTATTATTAACTAGAGAGATCTACACTTGATTAAGCTATATAATTATCGATCGAGTCTGGTGTAGGTGAATCGTACCATCACGCGACGCTGTATATCACGATCTTGAATAATATCACGTCCGCACACGAACACGAATCCTCCCTCACTCCCGCCATCATGTTACACATAAAACAAAAGAGCATTCTACAGCACCCCCTGGTTACCGTGGCGGCGCTCGTCCCGTGAGACAGAGCTTGGGGACGGGAAGCGTTTCCGTGACGATCGGTGTTGATGTTGACAGTGTGAACATGCCTCGCCCGAGAGGTAGCGCCATTGTGCGCTGACAGATGGACAGCAGGTGGCGCTCCTGTTCCTCAATGAACTCATGATCGCTGCGGGAGATAGAGGAGACAGCATGTGAGTGAGATATATGAGATAGCATGTGAGTGAGATATATGAGATAGCATGTGAGTGAGATATATGAGACAGCATGTGAGTGAGATATATGAGATAGCATGTGAGTGAGATATATNGAGATAGCATGTGAGATATACGAAATGGCGTGGGTCATACAAATATCATCTACAAATAGAGAGGAAGACCAAGAATAAGAGGAACAAAGAGAAAAAGAAAAAGACGATAAAAATGCCATCTTAACTTTCTGACCTTGCACGAGCGTGACCTTGGCCATGGCTTGACCTTGCCGAATCACTGCACTAGTGTGACCTTGACCTTACCTGACCTCTGGTCGCTGTACCAGCGTGACCTTGACCGGCCGGGCGGACTGGAGCAGCTTACGGACCTCAGCCACTCGCAAATCTTCTCCAAACTGCAGTTTGAGCGCCTGAAAATGTATTTTGTTCAATTTACCCATTTTTTATAGATTTAATTTTAGTATGATGACAAAAGTGATGTCAGTATTTTAGTGCGGTGGGTTACAATCAACGTGTGTCATAACACGATGTCACGCACTGATACATGCACTCGTGGCAACGCATGCATGCACATACGCACGCACGCATGCACGCACATACGCACGCACGCATGCACGCACGCATGCACGCACATACGCGCCGCACGCATGCACGCACAGCCTGACGCACGCACACACACACGCAGCACGAATGCACGCATGCACGCACACCCGATGCACGCACGCACACACGCACGAATACACGCACGCACGCAGCATGCATGCACGCACGCACGCAGCACGCGCGCGCGCACGCACGCACGCGCACAGCTGTTATATTTTGTACCTCATTATCCACGTTCAGCACGCACGCACGCACGCACGCACACAGCTGTTATATTTTTTACCTCATTCTCCCCGTTCAGCCCGCACGCACGCACGCACGCACACAGCTGTTATATTTTG